GGTTTAGGGGGCTTTGGGCTTAGAGGGCTTAGGGTTTATGGGGCTTAGGGTTTAGGGGGCTTAGGGTTTAGCGGGCTTAGGGTTTATGGGGCTTAGGGTTTAGGGGGCTTAGGGTTTAGCGGGCTTGGCGTTTAGAGGGCTTAGGGCTTAGGGGGCTTAGGGCCTAGGGGGCTTAGGGTTTAGGGGGCTTAGGGCTTATGGGGGTTAGGATTTAGGGGGCTTAGGGTTTATGGGGCTTAGGGTTTAGGGGGCTTAGGGTTTAGCGGGCTTAGCGTTTAGGGGGCTTAGGGGCTTAGGGTTTAGGGGGCTTAGGGTTTAGGGGGCTTAGGCTTAGGGCTTACGGGGGTTAGGATTTAGGGGGCTTAGGGTTTATGGGGCTTTGGGTTTAGGGGGCTTAGGGTTTAGCGGGCTTAGCGTTTAGGGGGCTTAGGGCTTAGGGGGCTTAGGGTTTAGGGGGCCTAGGGTTTAGGGGGCTTAGGGCTTATGGTGGTTAAGATTTAGGGGGCTTTGGGCTTAGAGGGCTTTGGGTTTAGGGGGCTTAGGGTTTATGGGGCTTTGGGCTTAGGGGGCTTAGGGTTTAGGGGGCTTTGGGTTTTAGGGGGCTTAGGCTTAGGGCTTATGGGGGTTTGGATTTAGGGGGCTTAGGGTTTAGCGGGCTTAGCGTTTAGAGGGCTTAGGGCTTAGGGAGCTTTGGGTTTAGGGGGCTCTGGGTTTAGAGAGCTTAGGGCTTATGGGAGTTAGGATTTAGGGGGCTTAGGGTTTATGGGGCTTAGGGTTTAGGGGGCTTAGGGTTTAGCGGGCTTAGCGTTTAGGGGGCTTAGGGCTTTGGGGGCTTAGGGTTTATGGGGCTTAGGGTTTTAGGGGGCTTAGGGTGTAGGGTTTATGGGGTTTAGGGGCTTATGGGGTTTATGGGGCTTAGGGTTTAGGGGGCTTAGGGTTTAGCGGGCTAAGCGTTTAGGGGGCTTAGGGGCTTTGGGTTTAGGGGGCTTAGGGTTTATGGGGCTTTGGGCTTAGGGCTTATGGGGGTTTGGATTTAGGGGGCTTCGGGTTTAGCGGGCTTAGCGTTTAGGGGGCTTCGGGCTTAGGGGGCTTAGGGTTTATGAGGTTTAAGGTTTATGGGACATGAGGTTTCCCCCCTAAGCGGCCCCAAGCCCTGAAGCTTATGGGGCCTTGCCAGGATCTTAGTGGCAAAACATGTCGCAGGGGAGCGTAAGAGGTTGACCTTGCGCCATCTCGTGCAAGCCCCGGCACCGTCTGAACCACCTCAAGATCAGCAAGCGAGTGACAAAGTCCGGCACACTAGCTGCGAGACGTAGCTGTAACTGCTTCCCTTTTCACCTGCAAAGCACACAACGGCAAGCATCGTGTTGCTGGAGGCCTATCACAGCGACGAGGCCTCTCCCCGTTTAGTACGGCCGAAGCCTTGGACCTTGAACAGTGCTACACTCTGAGCTCTCATTGATGGAGATCTAGCGGTCTCCAGCAAAGCTGTTCGCAGACCGTAAGCAGCACGGGTACCAGTTGCCATCCTTGTTGCATTCCTCCGACCTGAGGCTCCTTATGCTGGTCCTGTGGGAATTTGAACAATAAAGGTGTTTTGTGCCACGTGCCTCACTCTGAAACCTTAGTCGAAGACGTCTACGAGGCCAGAGCCCTCCGCAACTCGGGATTCCGCACTGGCTTTGGCTTTGGAGCGCTCGCAGGACAGGTTGGAGCACTGTGAAGACGGGGGGACGCAGTGTTGGCGAGTCTTTGGCACGGAGCAGGGTAGACGAAAGGGACGATCCGATCAAGTCTATGCCATGAATTCGCTGCGAAGGATCACATCGAAGCCCTGCAGAGGGAACGAGATGAGGCAGGATGCGCAGTAGTGGTAGCCAATCTCACAAGCAGCCAAAAACCACCCGCGTTGAGTGAGGGTCCTAAGCTATTGAAGACGCAGCCTCACATTCCTTGCTTCTTCTTTCCAACTTGAGCAGCTTCAGTCTGAGTAGGGTTGCTGGATGGATGGGAGTGGCATTGAGCTATTCTGTGTTATGAATGTGCAATAACAATAGTAATAATAACAATATTGTATAATTAACTTTGTGTTATGAATGTGCAATAACAATATTAATAACAATAATAATAATAGTAATCATAATAATAATAATAAAATAATAATACAATAATAATAGCAATAATAATAATATATAATTAATTAACTTGACTTGATTATTTTGTAATTGAGGCATTGGTGGACGGAGGCTTCAGCTTCGCAGAGGCTTTTAGGGCTCAAGCAAGGGGTTGAGGGTCCGACATGGTTCAAGGTCGAAGAGGCAAGAGCTTCAGGCTTAGGCTTAGGCGCTTCTAGGGGTTCCTCCGCGAAATTCGGGTTGAGTCCCTGACTCAGCAGCCCTATAACCTTAAACCCTATAGCCCTAAACCCCAATACCCTAAACCCTATGGGGGAAGTTCTAACAGCTGAACAACCCCAGTTCAGAGTTTCCGAAAAATAAGGGCTTAGAATTAGGATCCTAGTATTTGGGGTATTATATCAGGGTCCACTAGCACTGGGCTCGAGACTTACCAGTAGTGGGGCTGTGTCTGCTGAACATCGAGGGACTTGTGCTAGCCATGTTTGGGGATCCCCTTCTTAGCAGTCTGGCACCGGGCGCGACGCTCGATTTGGTGGCATACATCACTCAGGTTGATTTGCACGGGGCAAGCTTGCAAACTCTTTGGCATTCGGAAAGTTGCCGCTGCAAGGGCACGTTTTCTGCAGGAGGGGTTGTGACTCTTTATGGCGTACAGTACTTGGGCACCTACGGAAACTCTCATCATCTGATGCAGTTGCCAGGGACAGTGGTGGTGCAACGCCCGCCCTTGGACGCCAGGTCCTATCTTTCCTTCAAGGAAGTCTGTGCAGGCATCGGAGGAATGACTCAGGGGGTTGTGTTGCTGGGTGGCCGCAGCACAGCCGTGATGGACAGCAGTCCGCGGGCATGCGATGCCCTCAGAGCGCAGGGTACCACGGTCATCACCGGTGACATATCCGACACAGCCGCACGCCAAAGCCTGCACATGATCGAAGCGGAGACAAGATGCCTCCTTGGAGCCAGCCTTCCGGGTCCTGGGCCCTTTCGGGGTTTGTGTTCAGGGTCAGTTGAGGGTTGCACCCTTCTGCAGTCGGTGCTGTGCTTGGCATGGCATGCACAGGCAAGCGGTCTCGTCTTAGAAGGTGATCCTGTTGTCATGCAGAGCCCGGAGTGCACGAAGCTGCTTCGCGAATTCTCAGTTAAAGCAGGTTATCACCAGACCGAGGTGATTCTTGACCTCGCCCAGCAGTGGCCCATGCATCAGGTCCGTTACTGGGCTGTGCTGCTCCCTGCGCACTTGCCTCAACTACACCTCACTGCCTGGTCCGAAGCAGAGAAACTCCGGATCATTCGCGATGTTATTCCGGAGTGGCCAATTTGGCCTCACGCTATTGAGCAGGTGCTACAATGGACGGAAACCGAGAAAGCAGCATTCGCGAGCCCCTCGTTTGGCCCCACCGACAGAACTTTGGATCAGAATAAGCCAGCCCCACCGGCCCACCATTCTTGGGGCAATGCCTTTCGACCCTGTCCCTGTGGTTGCCGCAGTGAGCCTTTCACTACCGAAGCCCTTCTGAAAACCGGACTTCGGGGACAAGGGGTGCCATCGGCTCTCACACAGGAAATGCGTTTCCCACATGCCGAGGAAATCGGTCTGCTGGCTGGACTTCTTCCCGGCCACCCGATGCCAGGTGAACCGTGGGCTGCACTTTGCTTGGCCTGCCAGATCACGTCGCCGATGCAGGCACTTTGGGTTTTTGCGCACCTTAAGAATTGGGCGTCAGCGGTGCATGGTGGCCCTTCCTGCCGCCCACAGCAAGTGTTGCATGAATACCAGAGCAGGCTTCTTAATGCACGACAGGACCAGTGGATCACGCCCTCCATCTTAGCAGGAGGCAGCATCATGTTGGATGGTCCGGGCGGCCATGTTGCAGTCCCTGTGAATGGGCCCACGAAGGTAGGAGAACTTCTCCGAGCCTACAAGGCTGATCTTGAGCCTGGACTCAGTCTTAAGCTGCTGCATGAGGGGCGTGCTCTTTCGCCTTCAGCGATTTTGCACCCAGCGCCGCAGGGACCAAGGTACAACCTGGTGATCTCTGCCAAGCGCGCGCGGCGTGAGGCTTTGCCTGAGCCTCCTGCCCAAGCCAGCCAGCCTCCTGCCGCTGAAGCATCCAGTCTGTGCCGCACGCCCCCTGCCATTCGGACAGGTCAACTTGATTGGTCTCCGGCTCCTGAGCTGCCGGAACTTTGCCCTGAACTTGAGCCCACTCGAGAGCAGCCATTGCAATTGCCAGGCCCCGCGTGCACTGCCCCAGCCAGCAATGCCACTTCCCGTGGAAGCTTTACTGCTTCAGTGGCCCCCCAACCCAGCCGACAGTGCCGGGGCCCAGCGCACAGGTGCCGCTTGCGCAGCACTTTGCACAGTTTGGAACCTCAGGCTGCACTGATGTTGCTATCTGGTGCGGTCTTTGGGAGCTTGTTCGATCCATCCCCGGAGCCTCGGCACTCATACTTCCCCCAAAGATTGCTGGAGCCCTTCTTGAATTAGGTGCAGCTGACCAGCTTCGTCTCAAGCACCATCCTGCCCTGGCCCTCCCGGAGGGCATGCTGGTCTTTGTACCATTTGTGCATCAGGAACATTGGACGTTGCTTGTGCTCAGCATCTCAAATGGCAGTGTCCTTGCTGAAGTCTTTGACGGGGTACCCGGCCGCAACCTTGTCCAGGCCAAGCAACTGTCAACGCTCCTTTGTGAATTGGCCGGTCGCTCATTGGCGACAGTGACTGAATGCTGCACCTGGCCCCAGCGCACTCTGAATGACTGTGGGGCCATCCTACTAGCGCATGCTGCAGGAAAAATTTCCGGAACCAATGACCCGGCACAACTGCAGGAAGCCCAAGCCTTCATTGCCACCTTTCCACCTTTGCCGCACTGCTTGTTGGGCAGGGGCGGGCTGTCGTCTGAACAAGAACAGGCCCTTCAGACGCTGCTTGTGTCCAAAGGGGTGCCCTCGGCCAAGGTGGCCGCCAGACTTCAGCAGGCTGTTTCAAAGTTGGGTCCGGGCCCCATAGCTGAGGCACTCCACAGCCGGAACCCGTGGCAAGCCCTCAAATCTGCTGGATCCCGCCCTGGCACTCTCTTCAAGTGGGTGCAACCGGATGAGCTAGAGATGCATATCGAACAGCGGGCTCAGGAGCGCTTCGGCACCGAGGTTCCCCGGGCCAAGGCCAAGAAGCAAAAACAAGTGAAGCGAAC